GGTTTTTTACTTTTGCTTGATGACGATTTCAATCTACAGCAATTTTGCTGGAACACATTATTGTTGTCAAGCGGGGCACCACTGTATCCCCATATCTAGTAGCCACACATATATGCTGGATTTTTAAAAAGCCAATGTTAATGAACTCAGAACAAGGATAAATAACATGCCATAGCAGGGGAACCTAATGAGAAATGGAGTCCAAGAAGGGTGGCAGTTTCTAAAGGCACAACTACAAACAATACAAGCAAAAAAAAGGAGGGAAACAGCAAAAAAGGGGCCAGTGTGGCTTTATGAAAAGCTCAAAGAGGACATGAGAACAAACAAACAAAAAGTTAAGCTTTTGATTTTAAAAAGCCCCATGATATCCTGATTAGCAAACTAACTAAGTGTGGGCGAATAGAACAAGTGTCCGGTGGATACACAATTGTCTACAGAATCATAAGCAGAGGGTAATGATTAATGGCTCCTTCTCAAACTGGGAGGAGGTGAAAAATGGGGATTCCCCAGGGCTCAGTCCTGGGCCCAATACTCTTCAACACTTTTATTAATGGTTTGGATCAGGGGTTACAGGGAATGCTAAACAAATTGCCAGATGACACAAAATTGGGCGGAATAGTTAATAACCTGGAAGACAGAAACAAAATTCAAAATGATCCAGATAGGCTTGAGCACTGGGCTGAAAACAACAGAATGCAATTCAACAGGAAAGTACTACAGATGTTGTAGGTTTTTCAGGCTGTTTGGCCTTGTTCTGAACATTGTTCTTCCTAATGTTTCACCAGTTTCTGTGGCCGGCATCTTCAGAGAAGCTCTGCTGGTGTTTGTGGATTTCGATGGCTTCCCTGTGCAGTTTAACATAATGATTGCTGGTGTTGTCCAGTATTTCTGTATTTTGAAATACAATTTCATGTCCAGTTTGTTTCAGGAAACAATGAAATTGAAATCCACAAACACCAGCAAAGCTTCAACAAAAACAAGAAAGTCTGAAACTCAACAAAGCCTGGCTCCCAGCACTGAAAAATACAGCTCGCAAAAGGTCAACAAACTCTACCCAGCCACAAGGACCGGTGATCACTGCACACAAAAGACCAGCTAACGACAACCCATCAATCACAGTGGCATATCATCTCTCCCCCTTATCATAACAATACACCCGCAACAAAAAACATGCTGATCACCATAATCACCCAATAACCTCCCAATCTCTTGAAAAAGACAAAAGCTGATCCCACAGCTATAAATACTCAACTATCCCACAAAACTGCACCAGAGCACAGACAGAGTTCTGGCTACCGTCATCTGAAGATGCCGGTCACAGAGACTGGTGAAATGTTAGGAAGAAAAACCTTCAAAACATGGCCAAACAGCCAAAAAACCCTACAAGAACCATTGGATCCCGACCGTGAAAGCCTTCGAGAATGCAAAGTACTATACCTAGGAAAAAGAAACCAAACACACAGTTACAAGATGGGGGATACCTCATTCAGCAATACTACGACTGAGATGGATCTTGGAGTCATTGTAAATCACAAGCTGAATATGAGCTAACAGTCTGATATGGTTACCAAAAAAAGGCAAATGCTTAGGCTCCATTAATAGAAGTATAGTTTCCAAATCCCGCGAGGTAGTAGTTCCCCTCTATTTGGCACTGGTTAGGCCTCATCTTGAATACTGTGTCCAGCTCTGGGCACTGCTCTTCAAGAAAGATGCTGACAAATTGGAACAAGTTCAGAGGACAGGAACAAGTATGATTAGGGGCTGAAATCAAGCCCTGAGAAAACTGTGCATGTATAGCCTTGAGAAAAGAAGACTGATGGATGATATGATAGCACTTTTCAAATATTTGAAAGACTGTCATACATAGGAGGGGCAGGATATGTTCTCAATCATCCCAGAGTTCAGGGCATGCAATAATGGGCTCAAGCTAAAGGAAGCCAGATTTTGGTTGAATATCAAGAAAAACCTCCTGTTAGAGTAGTATGGCAATGGAATCTATTACTTCATGAGGTGGTGAGTGCTGCAACACTGGAGGCATTCAAGAGAAATTTAGACTACCAACTAGCAGATATCCTTTCATCTGTATTCCTACATTGAGCAGGGGGTTGGACTCAATGGTCTCATACACCCCTTCCAATTTAATTGTTCTATGATTCTATTATCGCCCAGTATCCAAAACTCCCACTCCTTCCAATTTAATTATTCTATGATTCTATTATCGCCCAGTATCCAAAACTCCATTTAGCATTAGTTCCATATAAGTATTGTGAAGTATAAGTATTTTGCTTATCTTAGTCCAGAAATGTAGGAGCTTTCTTGACAGTATAGTCTGATAGTTGTCCCAGAAGAACTGTGTGGCAATATTTTCAGCTACAACATATTTGGTATCCACATTCAAGCCATTGCCTCAGCAACCCCTGCTCCTTTAATACCATTAATTACATCTTCATAGAAACTGAAACCAACAACCATAGCTTATAAATGCCCATTAGAAAGTACTAAATTTGATTTAATGGGGTACACCAAATGTTACTATCCAGGATAAAGTAACCAATGGAAATCTGAGATAGCTTCAGTATCTAAAATCTTTTAAAATCTAAAATTATGCTTGGTTCAGCAATATGACATTTCATGACGTTGGGCACTACTTCATTTGTTTTGAAAGAAACTGTCCCCTTTATGAAAATATTGGCAATACAACACTGGTTTTGGCAATTGGGAGGGGGGGTTGATGACTCGCAAGACAAATGTTCCTATGGCCATGCTTCACAAGATGAATGTTTTCCTTTTCTTTGTTTTGTTTTTGTTTTTGATTTTGTTTTGGACTTATATACCGCCCCATAGCGCTACAAGCCCTCTCCGGGCTGTTTACAATTTTTATTATACAGGCTACACATTGTCCCCCCAGCAAGCTGGGTACTCATTTTACCGACCTCGGAAGGATGGAAGGCTGAGTCAACCTTGAGCTGGCTACCTGGGATTTGAACCCCAGGTCATGAGCACAGTTTTAGCTGCAGTACAGCGTTTTAACCACTGCGCCACGAGACTCATATTTGCTGATTTCTAAATGTTTTTCTATGATGTTCAAAAAGTTAAAAAATTTTGATGGAAATTTTTGAAATCATCTGCACAATATGTATGGCTTTAAAGAGCATTTAATAAACCCTTTGTAAACCAAATTTGACTTTGTTCGGACTTTTTTTGCCCATAGGAACACATTAATTAGATTTCAATGCATTCCTATGGGAAAACGAGTTTCGCAAGACAATTTTTTTGCAAGACAACATTAACCGCGGAATGAATTAAATTCATCTTGCGAGGCACCACTGTACTTGAGTGTCTATTTTACCAGCACCAACTCAAAACAAAATGTCTTTTGGACATATAGACAGCTTTCTTTCATATGTATTTTGTATTCTTCCCCCTTTTTTTCTTTTTTTTCTTTTTCCTTCTTCTTTTCCCTTCCTTTGTTTTGGTTTGGTTTGGTTTGGGTTTTTTGGTAGAATAAATAGATGGTGAAAGAAGGGGGGGGAAGTTCCCAATATCAAACGCATCCTGTCAAGGCAGTATGCTGTGTCTTATGTTGATGTTGTTGTTGCTTTTTAAATAAGGCTCCATACTTCAAGTCTGTTTAGACAGTTTGTCAAAGAAAGGGTTGTTAATGAGTAATCTTTCTCCATTGCAGCGCTGAGCCAATAAAAAGAAGAGGGCTAAGCCTAAAGTCAGCGTGTTATCACGGAAGGCTTCTGAAAAAAGTGAGAAAAGCAAAACAAAAATGTTCCCATTTGAAAGTCATTTGGATTCTGAGCTGAGTGCAGAAGCATTGATTCACAAAGCCAGTATCTACTACTAGCAAACTCTAAGAAGAAACCAAGTGTAAGTCACTGTGTAGTGGACTATATGTTTTGGATCAAATGATCTATATCTTTGATATATTTATGTATTGATCATATTAGTCTTTGGTCAGTATAGAAACTTAAATTTTCATTTCACAGAAAAGCTTAACAAGTGAATTATCTAGAGATGAAGTCTGTAACATGGCTTTGTTATTTATTCTTACAGTTATTTAGGCAAATATTTTTGGTAAATAATGTCTTTAAAATAGTACTTCATGCAATCAAGTGAAGAAAGTTCATTATGGATTTAGCATCTATGCTAGAATGTGACTTTTGTGATTTCAGATCATTAATCTGTGAGGAGTAGCAGAAAAAGCAGAATTCCCTACTGTCATAATACATCATTGTTAAATATTGAATGAATATATCCGGAATTCATGCTTTATAAGAATTACGCTTTTGAGCCAGCTTACTGTAAGAATTTTTTCCATTACAAGAAATGCTATCAGGCCTCTAGGTGTATGTTGCAAATAGGTTTTCTCTATTCTCTGTTGTACTATTGTTCAAAATTCCCAAAATAAAACCAACTATGTATAATTATTTAGGAATAATTATACCTAAATACCAAACCCAGAATTTGGCAGCAATATGTACTTTACATGAGCCTGGGGGGTGGGGGAAGACAAAAGGAAATAAAACACACATCAAAAATTTTTTGGAATGAGTTCTCATCACCTGAATGATTAAAAAGTGTATTGTTGATGAAATGTGAGTGACCCAGTGAGAGACTTGAATAAAACTGGGGACACCTAGTCATCTTTCAAATGAAATATATTTATCAGATCCTTTTGCTTTTCTTTAAAGGAAACTTTAAAAATGAGTTTCAATTGTTTACACTGTTTCATTTCCTCTTGAAGATCTATCACAGTATCCTGATTAGTACATTTCCAGATAGATGTTGATTCCAGCAGCAATCACACTGGTCTATCAGCTTGATTTTTTTCAGTCCTTTCTTACACTGGCATACAGCTGACATTCAATGAAGAGTCAGAATTAATTATGTGTGCAAGTAGTCTAAGAGAGATTCATTATTTTTTCAACTTTATTTCCAACTTCCCATGTGATTTTATTTTATTTTGAAAACATGTTAAATATAAAGGCAACATGAATGAAGACTATACATAGGAACAGACCTGAAAAATGAAAAAAAAACAAAAACCTTAAGATTATAATTATAATCTTCAGTATATTATTTATTTTATTTATTTATTTATTCAGTTTATATCCTGCCCATCTGGTCTGTACAACCACTCTGAGCGGCTATAACATGGGGACATTTAGCGTGAGGTGAAGTTTGCTACCCCATGAAAGATTGGATATATACGTTATGCAGCAAAGTATGTTTTACAGTATGTGTGCGTGTATGTATGCACCTATGCAATGGAAACAAATGGAAGTCATCCTGCCATAATAAGGCATTTATAGAACAGAGATTTCTTTCTTGTTGTGAATTCTGGATATGTTAATACACAGCGACTGTCATCTCTCAAATATTGCTGCTTAGTTATTTGTTTTGAAGATTTCCTTATATGTCCTGTGTACAGCAGTGGTTGAAATTCTGTTGCTTAGTGCAGCAAGCTGCAACTAGGGTAAGCCAATTGAATCAATGTAGTTTACTCATCGATTTCCCATGGGCTCAGTGGGCCTATTCTAGTTGCAACATATTACACTAAGCAACAAGATTTCAGCCAATATGTTCAACATTACAAGGAAGCTTAGCTGTAATTTAATTACTTATGAATAGCACATCCCCAAAATTGTCATAGTATTGCACATTCCCATAAATTATATACATATGAATCAATCTGGTGGGTTGTTGCCAGCAATATTTAGAGCAATTTGAATGTATCCTTTCTGTAGATAATAGTCCAAAAATGTACTGAAAAATTATCTTCCCTCTTTTTCCCCCCGACTGCCAAATCATAGCCATGGATGCTTGATTCCTTCTGTAGGAAGATGAAAGATATCACACATATATTTCAGTCTATAGATACAATTCTACAGGACTAAATTAGACAGTTTTTACATATATATTGCTGGCAGCACTGTCAAGACTGTATTTCTCAACAGAGGTCCAGGGCCAGACTCAGCAGGACAAGCAGAAGGGGCCCCAGATGCAGCAGGAGTGGCTTCCCATACTTTGAATGATGTGAAGTAATCTACTTTATCATATAACAAGGGAGGCCATATAAGGCTGTTAAGTCTGGAGTTTAAAATTATCTCACACACCTTTAGGCATTGCAGAGGAAGATGAAGGTGGCATGGCTAAAGCTTATGAACAGATAACTGTGCATTCATGCTTCTCAGATTTTGTCTTTCCATCTTCACTTTGTTTGCTAAGAGGGCCCCATTCGTATGTAGTAAATGTGACATTCTGCAAATACGTTTGGCATTTTAAATAAACTGTTTATTTTATCTGTGCATGGACAATGTCTGCTATATTTTAATTAGGGATTCTGGTGTTATGTGAAGAATAAAATAGATAATCCTGGAAAATGAGTCTTTCATGGAAACTGAAATGACAAACCCAACCTGGAAATTTCTGTTGAAGGACAGTATAATCATTTCTATAATAAAATGAAGAAATCAGCTGGCAAAGTGGCATAGTTAATTCTAGACAGCAACTTTCTCATATTAAAAACTGTCACAGTTTTAAATACTGTTACAAAATTTTCACAAAAAGTTGTTCGTTGGCAGAAACAAACAGAAGCATTATCATAAAATGGCATTTTTTCCTTAACTGAACAATTTAGTCCAAATTGCACTAAAACCCACTCATGGAACTTACAAAATATAATGGAATCATGATTTATATCACTGACATTTAGAGGTTGATTTTCTTGCCATCATAATAAAAGAAATTGAATTTTAATACTGTTAAGCCTATTTAGTTTATAGTCTAAAATTTGTCCTTTTATTTAAACAATTGTCAGCTGTTAACTGGTGGGATTTACACGTTGAAAATTGTCATGGTAAACTTGTGAATTATAGAGTAGAGTGGGAGAAATTATATAGCACAGTCCTGGCAGATGCAACATAACATATATAATCATAATCATAACCACAACAACAACAATTGTGTACCATCGTGTCAATCATAATTCATGGCAACCCCTTCCAGGGTTTCCTAGGTAGGGAGTACTGAGAAATGGTTTACCATTTCCTTCTTTTGGGGGTGCCCTGAGACTATTCCAATTGCCAAAGACCAAACAAGCTGGCTCTTCTTCTTGGAGGCATCGTGGGAAATTGATCTCCCAATCTCTGGCTCCACCTAACTCACTGGGTTTTGTTTGTCCTTTTCTTTGTCCTTTCAGGGTTTTGTCAGCATTTGGCATAACTTATTGTAACGCCTCTCACAGTAAAAAGACTCTATGGCTTCAGAGATGAACCTAATAGAACATCCTCAGCTACCTCCAGGAGATGGATTTTCTCTTTCCGAAGGTCCTCATTTATTTGGTAAATCAGAAAATGTGCTCGCACCAAAATAATAGCATGGGAAGAAATGCTATTATTTTCCTGCTAACTTTCTTCAAGCTATTTATATTTTTCTGAAAAATGCTCAGGTTTTGCTGATTCGCACAGTTGGTTTATTTGTATGTTATAATTTATACTTGTCATACCATTCTAAGTAACAGAATAAAACCAGAACAGACAAGCAGGGGATGGACTGTAGCTCAGTGGCAGTGTATGTGATCTAGTTTATGGCATCTTAAGGTAGAAGTGTGTGAGAGAGATTGCTGTGTGAAATCTGGGGGGCCGTCATTGTAGGTTCAGGAGTAGTCAGACAGATGAACCCCTGATCTCGCTCAGCCCAGAGCAGCTTCCACGGTTCCAAGTGAAATTCAAAACTGAATAAACTCATAACCGGAACTTCCAAGAGGCAGGTGTGGTAAAGTGCAATCCAGTGTCACATTAGGTAATATTATATGTATTAAACATTAATACAAATTCTTTCTTTCTTTCTTTCTTTCTTTCTTTCTTTCTTTCTTTCGTGGCTAGGCCACTACTCTAGGCTGCATACAATATCATAAACATATATTGAAATTGCAGTAATAATCTGATAAAACATCATGCAAGGAAAATCCAATCTCTAAGTATAAAATAACTAATAGATATAGATATAGATTTTAAAAAATCAAAGCACAATATATGGTGGCAAAACAGGGGCGATTTTACCAGAATTCATGGAATATAGGTAGAATTAGTTCTGGGTGAGGCTATGAAAGGCCTGTCAGAACATACAAGCTGTGAGTTGTTTTTTTAAAGCCAAGGAAGGAAGGAAGGGGCCAATTGTACCTCAATTTGGGAGGGAGTTCCATAATCATGCAGCTACCACGGAGAAGGTCTGGTTTTGAGTTGTATGTGAGGTGTGGGTACAGGTGGTCATTCTGAAGGTGAGGTGCTCAGCCAAGTAACAAGACCCTAAACCAGTTAGGGCTTTAGAAATCAGCATAAGCACCTTGAATTTGGCACGGTAGCATACAGGCAGCCAGTGCAAATGCACCAGGACAGGTGACATATGATCATAGTTTGATGTTCTTGACACCAGCCTGGCTGCTGCATTTTGCATTTGCAGCAGCTCCCAAACCACCCTCAAAGGCAGCCCCACATAAAGAGCATTGCAATAGTCTCTCCTCAAGATTACCATTGCATCAACCAGTGTTGTTAGGAATTTCATGTTAAGGTAGGGGTGAAGTTGTACAAGCTACCTCAGATGAAAAAAAAAAAGACAGACATGGCCATGGTTGAGATCTGATTTGTCATTGAGAGGTCCAGGTTCAGGAGCACACCCAGATTGCAAACTGGATCCTTCAGGGTCAGTGTGAGTCCATTTAGACCAGACAAGCTGCCTCCTAGTCCATCAGGAGTTTCTCCCAACAACAGATCTCCATCCTATCAAGGTTAAATTTCAACTTGTTAGCCTCTGTCCAGTCTATAACTGCAACCGGTCAGGGCTCAAGGATCTGCGCAGCTTGTGCTGCTGAAGATGAGAAGGAGAGGTAGAGTTGTGTGTCATCAGCATATTCATGAAAGTGGACTCCAAATCTCCAAACAATCTCCCCCAGTGGCCTCATATAGATGTTAAATAGCAGTGGGGAGATGACCAAGCCCTGTAGGACACTGTATTGCAGTACAGATGGGGACAAAATAACCTCCCCAAGCTGAACACTCTGGTGCTGGCTCTCAAAGAAGGATAGGAGCCAAAATAATGATGTGCCTCTGATCCCCAACCCAACAACCAGTGCAGGAGGATACTGTGGTCGATGGTATCAAAGGCCGCTAAGAGATCCAGGAGGACCAACTGAGTCACACTCCCTTAGTCAGCTTCCTGAAGAAGATCATCAAGCAAAGCAACCAAAACTATCTCAGTCCTGCGGTGTGGCCTGAACCCCAATTGAAATGGAATAATGGGATTTCCCAATCCCTTCTCCCTCCCATGACAGGACTATTTCTTCTTGCAGCTTGCCAGTCTTCAGACCCTCTTGGTCTCTCTCCAGTTTTCCCCACCTGCATGCTCTGAAGTTTTCATTAAATAGATTGAGGTGATGATGTGGGAAAATAGGAACTTTAACTCAAGGGTCTTGTGTACCCGTATGTGCCTGTAAAATTTATCTCTGTGGCTAATAGGGTAATCCAAACAGTTGCCCTCCACACTTACCTGCTTTTCCCTGCATTTCCCATATACAGTAGTACATAGTTTGGTATGGCACTGTCTCTCCACAATGAAGGCCCTGCCTGTCAGAACATTTTACCAGCTCAGCCAGTAGTTTGGGATAATTAGGATAACTAGTTTTTAGTATATGTATTATTTTTGTTAGGTAAAACAATAGTAACTGTTCAGCTTCTATATAGTGTCCCTGTACAATGCAATAATATCTTTTTATCAGGGAACAATAAAAAATACGTTTACTAAATATCTAAAAGATATGACGTACTTTTATTCTCTTTTTGTTGTGCATTTCATTTGTAAACCAGCAAAAGAGGGCCATTATCTCCCATGAGGTAAAAAGAAGCAGTTACCTCAGGAACTAGAGTTTCACTGCCACTGACAGGCACTGAATAATTAAATATGTGTATTTATTGTTATACTTTCAAATCTGAGAGGAATGGGGGCAATTTGGCAGTTTCCATTTCACACACTTTTATACCACAAACCAGATCTAGAGACTTCCCTGTGACACAGCCTTAGGTTATGTGGTAAACACCGGTCTGTACTCTCTTCTTAAACAACATTAGAATTAAAGGTTTAGCTACTCTTTTCTTTGGTGAAAGACGGTTTAAACCATGTGAATAGTAAACAAACACCACATTTAGACAGCCAAAAACTAAGCATATTAGTGGCTCTACAAAAGGGGCAAGCAAGATCAAATCCTTGTCTTTGTTTTGCAGAGAGGGCGAAGACTCCAGTGTTTTAAATGTCGAAAATGGTTGAACAATAGGATCATATCATGCTTGAGATCAGGCTGCATCTGGCATAAAAAAAAGAGCATCTGGATTGTTGCTTTCATAACATAGATTCTCGTAATAAACAGGCCAGAAAGAGTTTTCAGGGTCAAAAGAATACAGACCAATATTTAAACTGGGCCTACATAGTGAATGTAAAATAATTTAACAGAAAGAAGAGGCAAAGTCAATGCAGTCCCCATTCTGCAAACAAAAATAAATGCATAAGCAATAATATAAAGAGGAGGACTGTTTCATGGAACCAGAAAACTAACAAATGAAGTATCTGTAACCCCAGCTTTCAATTTCAGCTGGAATAGCAACTGAATTGCTATTTAAAGGCAATTGTTTAAAGGCATAATAGCTAAAATATTCTAAGCCCTGGCAAACAAACTCCAGGTGCATTGAAAAGCTGAAAGTGAATACTGACTGGCCTTCAAGCTTAGTGCAATGATGGCTTGAAGTTTCTCCTCCCTCAAATGCTGCTGCTGCTGTGCTCACTCTCGTCTCCCCCACATGACACAGCCACCATGGCAACAAGTAATTCTGCTTTGGCCTGTCCCTTGCTAGCTAGTGCTTATGGTTCAAAACTAAACTACTACTTGATTTTCATTGGAACCAGGCAGCCATCACCTTAGATTCCACCAACCCACTCTCAGGTGCCAGCCCATTGCACAGAAAGGTAGAGTGGTGGATCACATCCCATTCTAAAGCATTGGGAGTCAGGGACACATATGGTGTGGTGCATGTGTAAAAGTACCTGGACATCACAGCAGTACTGTTGGGTTAGCATTAGAGGTAATCTAGGTGGGAAGTACAGTGTTCACAGCGCCATACCAAAGGATAGTAATGAAAAGGGGTACTTGGCTCTAGTCAGGGCATGAGCCAAAGAATTCGTAGTACTGGTCCTTAGTGCCTCTTCTAATGAGGCCTCTTTTTATGAACAGTACTGAAAACAGTTATTTACAGCCTCAGAAGGGAAGGAACCCTTCACAAAGCTAGCTAGGCCATGCTAGGTGGGGAATTCTGGGAGTTGTAGTCCAAAAAGTAATATTCCCTGTCTCTGAACTGCTTTCACATGTAGATCTTTTTGTTCAACGGGGAGAAAGGAATAGATTCATTGTCCTTGCTGTTGACTTCTTTTCTGACTCTATCTGCCTTGACATTGGCACTGTGAGAAAGAGCAAGATCTTCCTGGAAACACTCCCACACTCTTGATCAAATCCAAGAGCAGAACAGATTGTGTGGCCAGCAATTCAGGGCTATTTTTGACACACAATTATTCTTGAAGAATATTGAGATGAGAATCTCAGAGGAGAATCCTTATAGCAGGGGGTCTTGATGGAGCAGCTGTCTTCCCTCCCTCATGCAAACTTGGTGCTGTTCCCTCCCCCAATGATCTAGAAGATATCAAATGGTACAGGAAATTTTACATAGCATTTTCCAAACAGACTTTTCATAACAAAGTTAATCAGTAAACTGCATAACCTCTGGCCTAGTATTTCCTTGGCTAGTCTTAGAGGAAGTTTTAGTTTTCACTTCTGAGTCAAGTACTGGAATGTTAAAGCAATAGGAGAAAGCCATACTATAAAGGAACTGGTTCTCTGGAACTGCCTTGTAAATGGTCAGATTGACACTCTCAGACAAAAAAGGTAGGAAATGTCCATAGAATGCTTGTGGTTTGTGACTCTAAATACTAGATAAAGCTATTTCAGCTCCACAGAAATGTATGTAGAAATGGGTGTTTGGGTATTGAAGATTTTCATCATTGTTTTCCATGCTATATGTCACAACGTGGGTGCTTGTTTGCATAGCCCAGTTTGGTTTGGATTATGAAGATCTTCACTATCTTGTGCAATAGTTTCTGATAGGGTTGTTGTGATTCTTCTTGCTCTGAGCTTATGACAGATTATAACAAGTGTTTGTGTGTGCATATGTATGCATGTGCACATGTGTGCTGTTTTATAGGAATGAACCAGCCACTCTAGCAAAGTGTCATAACGACCATCCTCCTCCTCACTGCTGCTATTGTTCTATTGTTTCAGGATACTCATGGTCTCCTGGTCTCTGTTAAACTTATGAAGCAAAATTGAATATCTAGAGCCTCTTACCAGTTAAATTGAACTAATATGTATTCAATAATCTTGACTATACCTAAAATGTGTACTGCAAAGTTCGACCAAAATCTACCAAGTCCAGTTGTCATTGAACCTGAACAATTGGTAGCACCTGATGTTCCTTTGAAATATGACCAGTTGAGGACCATGGCCTGCTTTGGCCAACACTGCTGTATGGCATTCTTTGCTAGAGTACAGTACTGTACAGGGATAAGCTCACTGAATAAGATCCAGAGCTTGGAACATATGCAGGAAAAGGCAGCCAGTGTCTTCTGAAACTGGAAATGCTGTCAGTCACCTATTTTGCCAGGCTACGCCCACCACATTCCCTCGGCCAGAGCCACCCAAAGTTTCTCCTACTTGCTCTGCTCCAATTCTGGACAGGAAAACTCTTCCTGCCAGCTATGAGAGATCAATCCATCCTCCATATTGAGAGACACCTCTGTGCCTTTGACTATGAAGTACTGGGGGAAAGCAACAAGAGAAGGGTACAGTACATAGTGGCTTCCTGGAGGCATATGGAAACAGAATGCTAAACAAGATACAAATAAATTACTTTTCCAGTACCACCAGTTCATTACAAGATATACCATCTGTGTGTATGTGTATGTTGGAATGACTGAGATGTATTATTTACATAATAGAATATTGTTACCAATCAGATTTTGTCCGGCATTAGCCAATTGGTGTTTGAAGTGGTTAACTGCCAGATAAAAGAAAACATGACAGGATGAAGTTTATTCTGCTAATTATGTTTGTCTATTACCATGAGGCTTTTCCATTGAGAAGTAGTGTTTTTTTCAGTTGAGCTGCCTGCTATTAGTACTTTATTAAAGGAAGCTGTTTTTAAATGTTCTAAGTCTGTCAAGCACAAATCTGTACCAAGTAAAATGTTCAAGTACTGTTAGTTTATTTTTCAAAATGTTATACAGTAAACATTCTTAAAGTTTTCCTGTGACTAAATGAACATTATTTCAATTGCTGGTCAACACAAGTTCATATAGGTACACCAAGCAAGAAGTTATTTATGATCTGTGTGGTTTTTATGCTCATGCTTGTTTTGTAAACCTCAACATCCTTCAGCACCATTTGTCCCCACATTTTCTTAAGTTGAGTTGAGTTGCGGAGACCCAGAAAGTAAGGGGTTCTATCAGAAGCCCTACTTAGCACTTGTTTGTTTTTAAATACAAACATCATCTGGGCAGCAGGGAAAATGCTAGTGACTTTGATCAACTTTTTTTTAAATCCAAAATTTCAGCTGATCTGTGAACTGGACGCATGCTGAGCCTCTAATATGCTTGTCTATATGTGGATCAGGCACAGCTTCTCTTGAGTCTGTCCTCAAACTCAGGAATCAGATGGGTGTACCAAAACATGTACAGAACAACTTATATTCTGGTTGGAAGACACCTACATGACTACCAGAGAGGTGGAAAGATTCGGAAGGAATAGGAAACAGGTTTTTTTTTAAGAGTACACCATGGCTGCAGATTCATTAATAGGGTCTGCTTATCTCATCAGCATATTCAACTCAGAATGACTGGACATGAGTCCATGGGGAGGGAGATGAAAAATAGCAATGAACATCCCATAGACTGATAAAAACAAATATGGATTTTGTGTTATTTTGTAGGTGTACTTCCAGAGCCAATGACTTCCCCATTGCAAGATTCTGGTGTGTCACATTATTCCCAGTATAACAACACTGTGCACTTTCCTTCAGCGCAGCCTCCAGGCTCTTCACCATCTTATTATCCCAGCCTCAGCTTCTATCCCCAACAGCCTGATGAATGGTACTCACCTGTAACCTATGAGGTCAGAAAAATACCCTCTGAAAACTTTTTCCCAAAGGAGCCTGACCTAGGAGGCATGCCAGTTGCCAAGAAGTCTCGGATGGGCCTTTCCTCAGGAAGAATGAAAGGCGAGGAGCTGTGTGTTGTCTGTGGTGATAAAGCCTCTGGGTACCATTACAATGCTCTTACTTGTGAAGGTTGCAAAGGTAAGGCAAGTAAGCAAACAAACAAACAAACAAACAAACAAACAATGTGTGTTCCTATGTGTGTACACAAAATGACTGCTTATATATGTCATTTATTTGGATAAAATTGGAATCTGAACATGGAATTCTGGTCACTTTAGGTTTCATTTTTCTGGTTTATAAAGATCTAATAAATATCATAATAAGTCTTTACAAATGCAGACTGCAACTTTTGGTAGAGTTGCTCACGATTTAGCAAGAGACGTTTTGGAAGAGAGGCAATGGATGAATAGTGTGCCAGCATAATGGTTGTGTCTTTTCTTCTGGATGTCAGCTTTCTAGTGCATTTTCCCTGTCAGAAAGTAGGGCAGGCCCAAGGCCACGGAGACATTATTAGGGATGTGCATGGCAAAAAAAAATGTCCATGTTTCTTTCTCATAAGGTTCTTTCAGGGGTGCCTCATTTGTTTTGGTATTTTTTTGTTGTTGTACCGGTCCTTTCATTTTTTTGTGAAAAGAAAAAAAATACTGTAGGTCATTTTGTTTTGAGTATCTCAATTTCTTTTTCCCAGCACTCCAAAAGCGCTAAAAAAAATCTAAAAACAATTCCAAAATTATAGAGAGGCTCAGTCCACTCCAATGGTAATGGTACCATGTTGGTAATGGTACAGCCAACAACAGCCACCCATACAGCCCAGTGGCACATTGGTCCACCTCCTGGCCCATACATCCTCACAGAAGCAAACAAAACAGTCCCACCCCGCCCGATAATACACTTTTAGCAGAATAAATACAGGTTAAAATAATAAAACAACATATTTTTTAAAAAACAAATCAAGCAAGCAGGAATGAAACTCTTCAAAAGGGGGGGGGATAACAAACAAACAAACAAAAAAAGACCATGTCTTGATAGCCTCTATTGGAACTCATTCCTTCACACACCTTTGTGAGTCATTGAGAATCCTGGCAGCTTACAGGAGTGTCTGGGGAGATTTTCAAAGGGTGAAAAGAAGGGGCACAGGAAGAGCAAACACATAAAAGAACAGCTCTACCTCCTGCCATTTTGACAGCTCCCTGTCCCTTAATTTGGCCAGGTGGGGGTCTTGCCGAATTAATTTTTTACTGAAGTCCCATTCCTAGTAGATACCTAGTATTCCTGCACTGAGCAGCGGGTTCGACTTGATGACCTTGTAGGCCCCTTCCAACTTCACTTTTCTATGATTCTGTGATGCCCTTATGATCTGTATGGAGATTTGATTGTTTGCTTTTAAGTACTAGTGCAGGTTCTTTTGATAGATTATATAGTTTTAAATATCCTATTTTAATTTTATCTTAAACCTATTTTTAAATTAAGGAAAAAAATTTGCCGGCAGGGAAAAAATCATAAGCTTTAAACTCAGCCTGTTATTTCCCCTCCTTAACATCGAAATATATTAAACTCTTTAAAAAAAAAGTTAGGGAACAGCAAATATATGGCTCTGAGTGAAAATAGCAGGTAATTTACATTTCAAAAGAGGTCTGCCAGTGTCAGTCAAGCATATTTGAATGGAGATTGCACACAAAACAATTCAGATGCAACTTCCCATGGACATAGCCAAATGCCAGTTTTGTTGACAAAAGATGCAGCTTTATTATTTCATAAGAAAAACTGCCACTGTCTACTTTGAATGCGAGGCATGCCAGATCCTAAACTGGCCTCATTACTACAGTACTAGCAATGGTACTACTGCATGTTTATAAAGTTTATAAATTAAAAGCAATGTACTTCTAATTGTTGTGGGAAAACAAAGTTGCCTCCCATTGTTGCTCCTTGTTGGGAATTCTTGAAGAGGCATCAGGCTGCCTACTTGGAGAAAAACATACTGAACAAAATGGATGTTCTGGGATCTCGTCCAGAAATGCAGTCCTTATCTGAATTATTCCTTATTTAAAATAGGTCTGGAATTTGTTTGTTTCTTTGGGAACATAAAACAGATCACTGATGTCCTCTCTATAAGCTGCCCAGAGTGGTAGAATATACCAGATGGGTGGGATATAAATCGAACAAATAAGTAAATAAATAAATAAGTAAGTAAAGCTCAAAACATTTTAAAAGGAACCTTGTTGCGCATTGGGTGGGGCATTTTGTAGCCTGCACAATTAATTTTTAAACCTCTCAGAGAGTTTTTTAAGTGGTACATAAGCAGCACACTTTTCTTTTCTTTGAAACAGTTAGCTGCTCTTATCCTGTTACCTTTCCACCAGTTGGCAGAAACCTTTTGGCTTGGGGCAGTTAAATAGCTATTGAGTAAAAGGCTTGTAAGTAGTTGATGCTGTGCTTTTCTCCTGATAAGTTTTTTTTATTTTTTCATCTTCTTTTGAGCCAGTCTGAGTTTTGTGAGAAAAGTAAAGTAGAAATAGAAATCAAAAAGACATTAATTTATATAGATCTAAAAAGACATATATCATCTGGATCAAAGAAACTTCCTAATTGGGTCAAGGAAATTTCCATCACTATTGATCTGTTTTTTTTTTTATTTATGTACTGCCTTACATCTTGTTGCACAACAGGAATTATATAATTGGGAGCAGAATATTGCTGCTGATTAAAGGCTTCCTCTTTTTCTGTGATTTTGGGGTGTGCACTGCTTCTATATGCAATGAAGTTATGTGCACCTCCCAAAATTACAAAAGAAAGCTTACAATCAGTAGCAATCAGGCACTACCAATGACATTATTCTTCCATCCAACAGGATTTCTGCCAATAATTAATTGTAGCATTTCTTTTTAAGTAAAACCCAGTTTCAAACTAAAACCTCACCAAATTTAAAACCTCACCTCCCTGTTCATTCCTCAGGTTTCTTCAGAAGAAGCATCACCAAAAATGCTGTATACAAGTGTAAAAATGGTGGGAACTGCGAGATGGACATGTATATGAGGAGAAAATGCCAGAAGTGTCGTCTACAGAAGTGCAAAGAAGTAGGAATGCTGGCTGAGTGTATGTATACAGATATTCGTACCCCATAAATATTTGTTTAAGCTTGGGAGTTTACATGGTTCCCTTATATATGGGCTGGGGAAAAGCAAACTAAAAATGAGGATCTAACATATTTATTGATTTATAGTTATACCTATAATTTTGAGTGTTATATCTCAGAATGCTATTTTTGGATATTCAAGCCTTTAAACAACAATAAAACAAAACAAAAAGGTAAGGAACCAACACCGAGGTATTCTATTTAATGAAAAGGACAACTGCCCATGACCCTCTGTAACTGACTGCTGAGCACAGGAGGCAAATGGTATACCAATTAAGGCAATTAACTGGTCCACCTACACTTGACTACACTGACAGACAGCTGTCATCTAGATTCTAGCTAATTGTCCTACTAATTGGACCTTGCCTTCTTAAGCTGTTTTAGGACCTACATTTGCTTGTTAAGCATTGGAATCCTCTAATAAAAGCATGGGATTCCATTTTCAGTCACTTCTTCAGATTCTGCAGTATAGAAAGGCTGTGAAAAGAAGTGTTCAACCCTTTTCTCCTATAACATTTTTATGAAATAGCTGTCCATCTCCCCCAGATTCCCATTGCTCTTTACAGGAAGATATACCTGGTATCTCTATAGCTGCAATTCAATTTTTTAATTAATATTATGAAATTTTATTTTTCATAAATTTTGTTCCATAAAAGTATTAAATCATATTTTACTATAATTGGAGATTTTTTGCATAATATGTGAGTTGGTCCTCAGAGTCTTGGCATTACCTTAACTACTAAACTATAAGTGCATTTTATATAAAACATTAAGATTGTGTGTTTTATTTAAAAACTCACTTCCTGGCACATACCTCCTTTGGAAAGATGGAGGAATAGGATTAAGGCTGTTTTTTATGTTCCCTGTTGATGGTTCCAATCATCTTTGCATAACCATAGTGTCGCACCAATTTAGGTTCATACCGGAAATTAATCTACTCTGGGTTTTTAATATACTTTCGTCCTCCAATCTGATCATGAGATGCAATATTAACTGTTAGGCTTTGTGAAAAACAACAGCTTCTGTCAGCGCTTCAAAATCATGCAAAAATTATAATATAATTAATCTTTTATTCTGTAAATTTAACAGACCACAGAGATTATGAGATATGTTCAATTTCCACCCCATGCATCAATACACAAAACAAATCATTCAATGAATCGGCAGGTGTTACATGAAAATAAAAAGCCACAGTGTGGAATCCAGCTTTATCAATTGCTGCGAGAGAAGCTGAGGAAAGGGGAGAGTCGTACGGATTGCCACTGTCCTGGTGCCTAATAATAGAATAAACAGGGAAGGAAAAATAGGTCATTGTAAATAATACTGACCAAATATACTGGAAATGGAAACTTTTAAAGTAGCTGATCATTTTCTCAGATTGTCCTGTATGAAACAAAGGCCAACAACAGGTGCTGACACTTGAATCTTCTTCTGCAATGGAAACCTGCACTTTGTTACTTTGAGGCTCATATAACTCATTACTTAAACATAAGCACCTTCTTGTAAAGTGCAGCAATGAGGACACATTGCAAGTTGTTTGCCTAGCAACTTTCAAATAAGGAGTGGTACTGTACATTTTCGTGAGCTTAAAAAAACCCTCAAGGTTAATTGAGTGGTTGAACATGAGACTCCTACTTGTAAATCAACTTGAAGTGAAATAGTTTCTTTGAAATTAATGTTACCTTGGACTTTGCTTCATTTACACATAATATAGTCCTGCAATTATTCCTGTGGAATTTTGCTCTACTACCAAAGAGAGAGTTTTACCAATATTTATCGTCTTACTCAGGTGTTCCTGGTTCATGATGCATCACAAAGTCAGTAATAGGTAATCATGTCATTGTAGGTCTCTGGATCTTATACAGCTTTGCATCAGAAGCTATTTCAATGAAGCAGATCTTGAAAACAGTCTTCTCTCTGTTCCAGTTTGTATACCAAAGGGAAGGAGAGATTGGCATTGTACATAATTTATTAAAAGCTAAAGTATGGCATTATAATCCCTTGATTGGAAACCTGCAGTGTAGCCAAATATAGAACCATGAATACACCTCCAAAAACGGAGGAGGAAGTGAAGTACAGTACTGTAGTAAGTTGCAAGCAGACCCATTAAATCGGGGTAATTTGATTTCCATAAGTTCCATGGATTCAATGTGTCTACTCTAATTGCAACTTATTACTGTATTAGATGTCTGTCATTGTGAAGTACATAAGAAGGGACTAGGGTAACTATCTTATAAGATTACATTCAGAGCTGGGAAGTAAGCATTACAAGTAATGTCACATACAATACACTACCTTGATGGGTAATGACGGCCAACATTATTACTTTTTTAGTATTCTAAAATGAATCACAAAAATGTTACAATATTTGCAGTGAGAAAATGGTATTCAGTATTGTTAAAAATTTACTGGGGTTATCCTTTTTAGCTATTCTTTCTGTTAAAAAAAATAAAATAACACATATTATTATTTGTGTCTAACAAATGACAAGTAATGTAAAAATAGTAGCAAACAAGTAAAAATGAGCTTTTTTTCTGTATCATTTCTACACTCTGGCAACCCTTGAGTCTTTTTAGATCATTAAAAGTCAAGCAACAAGAGAGCATGATTACTGCTGCAGATAATTATGTATGATGTGGAGAAAGTAAATGCAGATTCTCCTCTCTTTCTCTCTCCATACTATTCCCTCTGTCATATTATTAGTCCTTCAAATCATCCATTGAAGCTCAATGGTGGGAGATTTAGGACTGATAAAAAAGAATTACTTCAGCCACCACATAATTAAACTACGAAATTTGCTGCCACAAGATATAATTGTGGCCACTAAATGCACGGCTTTATGAGATCGTAGACAACATTTATGGAGGATAAACAGGGACTATCCTGATGCCTCATGATGGAAAGCAACAGAATACCCCCAACACATGGCCTTCAGCTTGTATATGTGCACAGACATGTTGTACCTGCAGCAACACAAACAACCATCCTTGTCCTCACCCCGTTTCCTGGCTCAGAGAGGGTGGAGGAGGAAAAGACAATGCTGCTGCAATATTCTCATCCTTGGAGGAAAATAAGCAAAAGAAGAGGGAGAGAAGGTGAAGAAGAGCTACAACAGGAGCACCTCCTGAGGGAGTAAGAGTAAGGCAAGCTGCATGGCCCAAATATTTGTTGTCATGTGTCATCAGATCACTTTCAAATTATGACAGTCCTAACAGAGACTTCGAGCTGTGTGAGATGTTCAAGGTTTCCTATTACTACACATACACCCGTAAACTTCCATGGGTGAGCAGGGGTTTGACCCCTGGTTTTCTGAGTTTTAGTTTGACACTCCTGACAGTGTATCCACCACACCACATTGGCACAGGTATAGCTGGCCCTTTTTTAAAAAATCACAAGACCCCACAGAGCTATGTATTTATTTAGAATATTGTCAGCTCTGTAGAGCTATCCTTTGGTGGGGGACATGTGTTGTCTAGCCTTCTTCTCTTTAGGTTGCTAAAGAGACAGCTACAATTCATGGCAGCTATACATTACCTTCTGTATCACAGGCAGAGAGCTTTTGACTAAGAGTTGCTAAGATCGTAAGCAAGACACCCATACTATGGTTGTATTTTGCTTAGATGTCTTGTTAGCTACTGCAGGAACAGAATGCTGGATCAGATGGCCTTTGGTGATGCAACACAGCTCTTCTCTGTGTGTACCATGCCAACTCTGTAGAGCTGTCCTCTGGTGGGGGACATGTGTTGTCTAGCCTTCTTCTCTTTAGGTTGCTAAAGAGACAGCTACAATTCATGGCAGCTATACATTACCTTCTGTATCACAGGCAGAGAGCTTTTGACTAAGAGTTGCTAAGATCGTAAGCAAGACACCCATACTATGGTTGTATTTTGCTTAGATGTCTTGTTAGCTACTGCAGGAACAGAATGCTGGATCAGATGGCCTTTGGTGATGCAACACAGTTCTTCTTCTCTGTGTGTACCATCAGCAGTGGAGATTAAGAAGATGGTTACTGGAGAGGGAAGATTTTCTGTGCTTTTGCTTCTATTGTGGAACTTTCTCCCACAGAAAATTTACCTGGTACTTTTTTGTGAGTCATAGAGAATTCTCATTGCTCAATCAAAGTTTGCCCTTCCAGTGGGTAAACTGTTCATTTTGTCTTGGGCTGTCTCTATGGCTGTTATTTCAGTATAATTTTGTGGTTTTTTGGTTTTATCTCCTGTGCCATTTTCGAATACATATGCTTTTACATACTGTAACTTTAAAAAACAGACAGGGCTGGCGAGTACCTTTGGCAGAAATGTGACATTTTTAAACAAAAAACCAACCAAACAAAATAAGCTCCAATATTTTATCATGTGTTGTTATGACAACAATTGAAATGTGAGGAAGGACATTCATCCCTGAAAACATGAAGTTAACATCAAATGGTGTAGTGGGCATAATGGGGGGCTAGGACCTGAGTGATCTCGTCCATAAAATTCCCTAGATGATCTTGGTCACTTTCTTTCAGCCTGACTTACCTCATGGGATATTGTGATATGAAGTGGTAAGGAGGAAAGCCATGGAAGTAGTTCTGATCTTGCCAGAGAAAAGATGGGATATACATGTAATGAATAAATAGAAACAAAAATAAATAGAATATTCAACAGATGGAAGGCACTATGTTTGTGCTTCCTATGTGTTACAAGTACATCTTTCCCTTCCTCCCAGCACTGCAATGTTCACTGTATGTGAAAGCCACATTCAGGTACAGGTATTGCTTTCCTGCAACATGTGAAATGGCCACCACACTTTAGCAGTATTCATTCTTCATAAGAAGCTCGGGGGGGGGGGCAAACACACAACCAGGTGAAATGAGGAAAGTAAGCATCAATTCTCCTGTCTGCATCATTGTCATGAACAGTATTTTACTCCTTCCAGATATTATATGTGGAACTGTTATTTTAATCCTTTAAATTTCCTCTTCTTCCAGTGATAGAGGAAGCTTGCTTTCTGTGAGGCATAATTTTATAATATACAGGATATTAAAAGCATTCACCACTGAATTAGGCATTTTCATTGATATCTTCCTCAACAGTATCTGGACTCTGAAAGATACGATTTACGTGTTCTCCAGCATCAAAGGGAGGACTCTCAGGTGACCCTCTCTTTTAAAAAAAAACCTACTTTAATTTCAGCTGTTATGGAGGTTACGCCCTTGGATTGACATTTCCCTGCTTCTCTGTCAATGGCAGTTCGTCACTCAGGAAGATTTTGTCCACATGATATAGTGAAAGATGCAATATAATATCCCATATTAAACAAGCTATAGAACTTCATAACAGCATTTTTGAATATTAAGAGCAGTTTTTCATAATTAACTTTGCTTGGGGATGACCTTTTGAACAACTGTGGACTGAGGAGGATTCATACTTGATTCATGGGAGGCAGTGTTTGGTTTTGCAATAAAAAAAGAGGGAGGCTTAGATTATCACAGAAAGCCAGAGCCTGGATGTTCTCACTCCCCCATCCTCAATATATGTACAGTATATCAACTGAATTTTGTTAGCCGCCCAGGGGAATGCCTATTGAGAGGGTAGTATTTACATGTTTGCCAATAATAAAATTCCTACTCCTCCAAAAATTATTTGTATTATGATCTCTTATACAGTTCTCTAAATAGAGAAGACTGCTTCAGCAGTGGCTCCCCTTCCAAGTCTGGTAACCTGCTGAAAAAAAATTTGAGATTTTATTTTAAGCTACAGTGATAAATTACATCTAATTAACAATGCACTGGTTGTGTGCCCCATTGGGTAAATAGCATGTAACCAAGCATTTGACCACAACCTCACAAATGATCTGAAATTTGCTGCCATTATTTAAATTATTTCACTTACGTCAGAACAAAAAATCTCTAATGGAATTCAGGCTTATAAATCCCAGAATACCCCAGCCAGCATGGGTACTAGACTATTGGAGTTCTAATAATAATAAAAAATTCCATCATCACCAACAGGATCTCCCAGTAATCCAGTATGTGGCTGACATACTGGCCAAAATCCTGTTGCTTTGTGTAGTAAATAGTACAAGGTTGGCCGACTGAATCAATGGAGATTTGGTGAATCAATTCCTCCTTAAGTTCCATTGATGCAATGGGCATACACTGGTGCAATTTACTTTTACTATACTGAGCAACAGAATTTTGGTCTCTACGTTGCTGGTAAAAAAACTATTTTTCTGAGGCTTCACTTTACAAGTTGTTTTTTATCCTTTCAATTACTTTGTAAGAGAGCACTTTTGTGACCTCTGAATTCCAGTGTTTCTCCAACTAGAACAGATTTTATGGAGTGATTTCCACAAATGTAGAGCAGCCGGGCTTAGAAATGAACTGAAAACCAGAACAATATTTTAATGTTGCTATTCTGCTGAAAAAGCTCAGAATCAATATCTATTTCAGGTACAGCTAACCAACTTCAAGTACAGTCCCATGTTCAATACACTGTAGAAGACTAAATACTGTATTAGTTTTTGTTGCAGTAGACCAGCGATGGTGAACCTATGGCATGTGTGCCACAGCTGGCACGCGGAGCTCTTTCTGCCGGCATGTGAGCCATAAGTTGCCACATCGCTACTCTCCCCCCGCCCCGGCGCAGCCAAACCTGGGAAGGCAGTGCTGGCACTTCAGCAGGCAGATCCAGAGCAACTGGCTCTGGCGGCGTATCCAGAGTGGGGTCTCGAGGCATCTCTGTGGCAGGATTTTCCCTTCCGCTGCCACTTCCAGTTCCGCTGCCGCCACTTCTGATTCTGCTGCTGCCGCTGTGGCACACCACGTGTGTGTGTGGGGTGTTTGTTTGTTTGTTTTCCGGTTTGGTCACTTGAGCCCAAAAAAGTTTGCCACCACTGCAGTAGACTAACAAGTATAAGGATGTGCCTCTGGTGAGCAAGGCCAAGACCACCCATCCTATGGTATTCCCAATTACAATCTATGAATAAGAACACCAGTCAGTGAAGAAAACTGCCTTGTAGATTATTGTGGACCAACAGAAAGATAAATAGGTGGTGCTAGATTACATCAAAACTGACTAGAAATCAAAATGATTTATCTGAGGTTGTCATATTTTGGACATATTTATTAGAGAACAACACTGACTAGAATGACAATAATGCTAGGAAACGTGGAAGATGGGAGAAAAAGAGGAAAATCCAGTATGAAATGGGTTGATTCAGTAAAGGAAGTCATGACCCTTAGTTTGCAAGACCCAAGCAAGGTTGTTAATGATGGGACCTTTCGGAATTTATTAATTCATATGGTTACTATACATCAGAAGCAAGTTGATGACACATAACAACAACAGATTAAATGAAGAGTTTTCCATTCTATCAATAATTCCATTCTATCAATAATTGTGGCCAGAAGAGTTTGCAGCTGGCTTAGTATAATAAATTAAGGAATATATTAGATGCACATGGAGAGATGTTTATTTTTAATCTAGCTTGCACACATGATGGAATGTCATATGTACACATGCTAGATGTTCATTATGCACTGTGTTGCAGGTTTGTTAACAGAAATACAGTGCAAGTCAAAACGGCTAAGAAAAAATATATCTCAGCCTCTTCATCAGACAGCTAGTGAAGATACTGAGGGATGTGACTCAAAGCAAGTGTCATCCACAACCAGACTCTACAAGGTAATAAAATTATTGTAGCATCTTGCCGATTGCAGAGTTCTGAGGTGTGATACAATTAAGAAGCATGGAAGGTTACATCAGGAAAATGACATGCTAGGTTCTGAATAATAAATCAAAAGATATTTCGATATGCGTTTGGCAGGTGATATTAAATATCTGATCTCTGTAGACAACACAAAGGACTGCATTGGAACAAAACCATGAGCATTTGAATTCTGGTTTATTTTCATACTACATAAGCACATGATTTCAACATTATTTGCATGGTTGTGCTGAAAATGTTGGGTTGAGGGGTCTCAAGTGAGGTATAATCGATACAAATATACAGTGGTGCCTCGACTTACGAATGTCCTGACATACGACTATTTAGGGTTGCGACCAGCTCCAGCCGCAAAATTTTGCTTCAACTTGAGGGTGGAGCTTCGAGCTGCAACTGGAAAAAGGCAGGGGAAAAAGGTGGGGAATTCAAATTTGCTAACCATTGGTAGGCGAAGAGGCTGCTTCTTCGTTGCTCTTTCGCCCCAACAATTAGAGTAAGTGTGTCAGAGGAGGCTTTGGACTGCCTAGAGCTGCTTACAGAGGAGGCTTTGTTTTGCAAGGTGGCTTTGGGTTTTTGGAGGGTTATGTTTCTGTGCTGTGATGTTTTTTGTGTTTTGGTGTGTGCTTTCTCTCAGCCCCATTGCGTTCTGTGTGTGGGGGGGTGTTTTTGTGTGTTTTTCCCAGCCCCATTGCATTCCGATGTGGCTGGCTGTGTGTGTGAGGTTCTTTTTGTGTGTTTTCCCCCAGCCCTATAGTGTTCCGATGGGGCTGGATGTGTGTTTTTGGTTTTGGTAATTATTTTTTTCAGCCACGGTGCATTCTGATGGGGCTTGTGGTTTGTTATTTTGTTTGTTTGTTTGTTTGGTAATTTTCCCCCTGGCCCCAACACATTGTTTTTTTTTGGGGGGGGTCTTTCTTTTTTCTGGAATGGATTAATTGTGTTCCAATGCATTCCTATGGGAAATGGTGCTTTGACTTGTGACCATTTCGAGTTACACCCACCCAACCTCTGGAACAGATTATGGACGTAAATTGAGGCACCACTGTAATTTCATTACTCTCACATTGTAGCTTGTGCTGCTGTAAATACAGGGTTAATTCATCTCAAGCATTCATTTTCTCTTGGATCATTTCTTACTGTGGCTGGAACAGGTACTAGGATTTCCTTCCTGCCTCATAAATTAACGGGATATCTACTGCTGGCTTTGGAAAGATGGTTCTATCTCAAGGGTATGAATCCTTTGCAAAATGCATTTGTGTCAAACTCACATTTCTTAAACTATCTCCTTATTTGTGTTATATACATAGACAATACAAGGATAACTCTGTGCTGAAATGAAGTTGTGTAATATAACTAACATGAAGTGAAAAATCATATTCAGTTACTGATGCTTATGATTTATTATTGCCAGTATAGGAGAAAGTAGAACTAACCCCAGAACAGCAGAACCTTCTTCACTATATCATGGATTCATATAATAAACAACGGATTCCTCCTGAAGTTTCCAAAAAGTTGGTAAGTATAACATTAAGTACGTGCCAAAATATTTCAGAATGCAGTATTGTCTATCAAAGCATTTCTTGTAACATTCTAGTTATTCTGGATACACTCTTTCTCCCATTGCAAAGTGGGTTTTGTAATATGAATGACTCATATGGGACACAGTTCCATTCTCTATATTCACAGAGCAGGTTAGGCAGTTCTGCATGAAGATAAGCAGATGAGCAGTAAGAAGGAGAAGGGTAACTCAGTTGACTTTTTCCATGTCGCTATCCGCTACTTTCACCTGCCATTTAGCAATGGTAGCCAAATGGTGCAGGACACAGAGAATGACCACTAGGGAAGTGCAGGGGGGAAACTTTTCATTTGCTTTAGTTTGGGGTTCTTTCAGGAGGCTCTTCTTTTATTTTTGGCTGTTTGGGGATAGCTGGTGTTTTCCTGAACCTGAAAGGACCCATATCTCTCATGTACATTTGTTTTGGTGTCTTCATTTGGGTCTCCAGTGCTGGACCAAGTTAACCTCTACAGAACCATCAAAACTACTTCAAAAAAACCCAGGGATAAAGCAACAACACATAATCTACACCAAAAGCAGGCAACACAAAAATGGTGCCTGAGAAACAAAAAACATCATCAGACCTCTGCAGTAGGTACATATCACATCCACAGTAGAGAAGCACCATCAGATTCCTCAGATCTCATTATTTACCATTTACCAGACCTATGGCCTTCTGATTAAAGAAATCCAAATTAAACATGATAGTTTCATTACCCTCTCTTTTGGAATCCCGAGTCTGTTGTATTTCTGATACTTTCTCTTGTAAAGCAACAACAGATTTTTCTGTTTTTTCCCCCCACTTTTCCTCATGGTCTCTGCAAATCATACATATGGGTTCCTTTCACACCTGTGTGGATTTCCTCAAAACCTTCTAGAGAAGTAGTTCCCAACCTTGGATCCCCAGGTGTGCCTGCACTATGATGATGATGATGATGATGATGATGATGATGATGATGATGCCACATTTCTCCCAACAAGGGACTCAAAGTGGCTAAAATTTCTAAAAGCCTTAACCACTAGCTGTCCTCGCTGGGATTTCTGGGATTTGTAGTCCAAGGACATTTGAGACTCAAGGTGGGAACCACTATTCTAGAGCCTAAATAAGGTATTAGGACATGCCCTCTCCAACATGCTCACTCCCCTCCCTATATCTAATCCTCAGTTCCTTTTTTGTCACTGCTGAGAGAACATCTTAGAAGCTCCTCTAGAGCCATTGTATATTGTATATTCAGATAGTCTATATAGTAGTTCTTACTTACCTTCTCCTTGACCCAGTTACTTGGTTTTAATTCTTATGAATCTTACGAAACAAATAAATCCTGGTATGTTTAAATTACATGATCAAGCGAACATAGGTAGTGTGCTGTACACTAACGTGCAGTTTATGGATATTTTGCAAGGAAACCAACAGAGGTTGTTGGATACTAACTTCCATCAGCCCCAGCCAGCATGGCCAATAGTCAACAATGATGCAAACGGTAATCAAACAACAGTGGAAAGGGGCATGGCGTTCCCTACCACTGATATTATTGCTTAATTACTCATGATTTCTGGGTTAAAATGATGGGTGAATGCACCTAATAGGTAGTACAGATTCACTCACATGCAGCATTCATAGTTGCTCTCATTAAGTGAAATCTACATGCATAGGAGCCTAGTTAGTTATGTGACTTAACGGCAGATTCACTCACATGTAGCATTCATAGTTGCTCTCATTAAGTGAAATCTACATGCATAGGAGCCTAGTTAGTTATGTGACTTAACGAATAAAGGAGCTCCAGCTGTAAAGTCTGGTGTAGAAAGAGCCTCTGCAGTCCACTCACAGGGACCTGCTGTTTCTTCTTATTCCATGTGACAAGCATTGCTTTAAAGGAGACCTTCAAAATAAGTTACAAGTACCATACGGTCTTCTCAATGCTTTTCATTTTCTCTTAGTGAGACTTACGATCATCAGTTCTTTCAATTGTTCATAAAACACATAATCTAGAAAAAAAATGATTGAGTAGGCTATCCAGTTCTACAGATTCTCTTTTGACGTAATTAGGAATAGATCTAAAATCAAGCATGGGAGTGCCTCTGACCCCACACATTCAGGGAGCTCTAATCAGAGGTCATAGATGGATGTTATAGGACAGTAGTAGTAGTAGTAGTAGTAGTAGTAGTAGTAGTAGTAGTAGTAGTAGTAGTAGTAGTAGTAGTAGTGCTACTAAAAACAACAAAAAATAGCAACCATAGTAATAATAATTCTGCTTGAATTCTTAGTTACAAGAAGAATTCAGTGCTGAAGAAAACTTCCTTATCTTAACAGAAATGGCCACTAGTCATGTACAAGTCCTTGTGGAATTCACCAAACGATTACCAGGTAAGATGTGTTTTAAAACTTTGGCCAAACAGGTTGACATCTCACTGCATCACTAAAAATAAATTGGGCAATAAAACCAGTAAAACCAACAACAGAGAGGAATGAAACAATAAAGTCATTTACATCAGCACTAGAAAGAAATGAATCAATAAAACCATCATCATAATAACCTATAAACCATTAAATCAATTTAAAAGGCCAATTTAAAGTGATGTGTCCTGTGTCTTCAAGTCCTTCCTTAAAGCAGAGAGGATTGGATCTGGCCACAGCTCTGGAAACAGATAAAAGGAAGCCCTCTTCCAGAGGCCTGTCAATCAATCCTCTGCAGGAGAGAATACCCTCAAGAGGGACTCTAATGAAATCTTAACTCTGTAGGAGACATTATTCTCAAGAGGGACTGCAATATATTTTGGGTTGTTAGGCTGCTAATTGTTCAAATTGTCCAAAGTCTAAAAGAACACCTTGGACTGGAACCAGAAAGCAACTGGCAACCAGTTCAGTTCTCTCAGTAACAAGTTATGTGGTTTCGATACTTTGCGCTGTTCACTATTTTGTACCAGTCCACATTAATATTTTAAACAACTGGATTTGGGTGACCCAGTGCCTTTCAGGGTCAGACACTTACATGCTTAGGTTTCTTTTTGTTGCTTAGAAAAAAAGTGTAGATAAGCTAGAACACCTTCACCAGAAACTCTCTATATCCTTATACAATCCATGCCAGCTAGACACAGGTCAGAAAAGAAGGAATCACAGGAGAGCCGATCAAAGTGAGAAATGTGCTATCATCCTGCCTTGCATGTGTGTGTGGATGTGCACACACACACACACATATATATGCACATTCACAGAGAGAATTCAATGCAGATATATATCTCGTTTCTGCACCATATGCATGTTTTTCATATGGTGTAGTTATGTGCCATCAAGTCACTTCTGAGTTGTGAAGACCCAAAGGGTTTGTTGAACTGTGTGAAGTATTCAACAAGTAGTTTGCTGTTGCCACCCATAGTGAGTTATCACAGCTGAGTAGGGTTTAAGCCCAGTGTCTGCTACACCGCATTGGTTCCTATTGTATTATTTCCCCTTTTTGTAACTCCCCTTCCATTCTTTGAGATAAACTAAACAGGGTGGGAGTAAGGAATTTAATAGACAATGGAAGAAAAAGACAAATGACAGTTGGAGAATATTCTATTTATCAGTGAAAGCTGATAATGCAACCCGCTCTCCTTTAAAACTAAAGAAGGAATTTAATTTGTAACACTCTAATCAAGTTGAAAGATCTTCCTGTGACCTTAAACAAGATTGCAAGCATATGCATGTAAGAATATATTTTTTTCCGGGATTCTTGCTTCTTTAATATAGGAGGATAAAATCTGAAGTGCTGGGGTGACTCGATCATCAGCCACTGCAAAAATATACCCTTGAAAGAGAATGTGCTGCTATTAGATAGTCAGTGGGTTTTGTGTTAAATCTTGGGCCTTAGTAAAGTTACTTTTTGGACTTTACAGTAACTTTTCCAGGTTCTGCTAAATTATCAGGTGGACCACCAGCCATAGTTGCTCCAACTACTATGTCTCAGTATCTTGGCAGTAGAATATGATGACTTCATAGTATGATATTGTCACATTTCCTTCTAGGCTTTCAAACCCTTGACCATGAAGATCAGATTGCTTTGCTAAAGGGTTCTGCTGTGGAAGCCATGTTCCTTCGGTCGGCTGAGATCTTCAACAGGAAACTTCCTATAGGGCATGCAGACCTCCTGGAAGAAAGAATTCGCAACAGTGGTAGGTGTTTTCATTCCATACTGTGATTGTTGTATGTTCCAGTGTTCAACAATAAGCTGTTCAGTCAGCCTGGTGTCCAAAATTTATCAAATAAACATATAAACATAAAAAATTAAGTTGTGAAAATAAAACCGTTCCATTACAACCAGCAACACAGTTTTCAAGGATATACATAAATAAATTAGGACAATGGAACACACTTCTATCATAGTAATTCCAACCACTTTGAATATTGCAAATAATGCAATAAGGTTAGGACAAGATTTGCTGTTGCTAGTGGGTAATGTTTGGGAGCTAATGTAGATTAGTAGGTGGAAAGGCTCATTTGGAATCAACTGCAGAGTTATGTAGGGAGTGTAAAACATTCATTCTATGTTTGATTTCATAGAGGCTGTTAGATTTCTAGTTTAATGTTATGCATGTGTGATGAACATATTGTTTTTGTTGTTAATTTTAAAACAATTTTCTGTGTTCAAATGCATTTCATTGTTATTAAGAACAATATTTGTGTAAAAGTTTGGATGATATACAGTTGTGTCTGTCCACTTAGGAAATAAAATTCCTCTCCTCTTGCAGTTCCCGGTCAACCCTCAAAATCTGTTGGAAATCACTGGGACGCCTTCAAAAGCAGATTTTGAGGCTGTGTGGAGAGCTGCAGGACGGGAAGTCAGAACAGGGAAGTTCTAGTGTACAAGCAGAAATCTGTTGAAAGGACACTGATATACCTCTCAACTATAAGGAGTTAGGTATCTGGCCGTGGAGCCAGAGGGAAGCAGAAATCTGTTGAAAGGACACTGATGTACCTCTCAACTACAACAAAAATAGCAGGAGTATTATAAAAAACAGCTTGATAGCTGAGGGAGTTAGGTATCTGGCCGTAGAGCCAGAGGTTAGGAACTCAGTCCCCCACTGTGTATCCCAGAAGAGCTAGCCTGTGTTGCCTTGCGCAAGCTGTAGTAGAGATCCTTCCCAGTGAGTGGGAGCAGCATAGTGGCTGTACTGACTTTAGTTTCCATATTTATAGTAGGTTTTAAGTCTAAATGGTGGCAAACAGTAACAATCCAGAACTGAGAAAAGAATTCAAGAAGTAATAGAGCTGGCCAGTACTTTAGCTCTAACAGAATATTCTCCATTTTCTACTATAAATAGGGGCTAAAGAACACTGATGGTAAATGCAATAATAGTAGAATCGTATTTTTCAATATCTATTTAAACCTTTTGCCAGTGTCTCATGTGTTTTTATTTCCTTCCTTCCTTCCTTCCTTCCTTCCTTTCCTTCCTTCCTTCCTTCCTTCCTTCCTTCCTACCTTCCTCATCACATAAACTTCATTTTCCTGTTCCCATGGCCCAAATACAGCTGGAATCCCAAGTACACCCATTGAATCAATGGAATGTACACAAATGATAACTGTTCAAATTCTCATTGACTGAAACGGTCTACTCTAGCTGTGACTGACACTCAGATTTATGCTTTTGGAATCAGATTGTGATGTTATTTTGTAAAGTACAATGACGGGATCAAGTTCTTTAATGCATAACACTCAACATGACATAATAATTCATAAATTATTGTATAAACTAATTGTCTTTACTGAAAATGTCTGCTGGGAAAATGTCCAAGCTACTTGTGACAAAATATAGAGGAAAAATTTCACAGGTTTGTGTTCAGGTAGTTTTTATTTGAAGAAGAGTGTCAAGCTGTCAGCTAGGTTTCACTGACAGGGTCTGAGAAATGGTGCCACAAAAGCTGAAAATATGAAAGCACCTCACAGTACTGACTGTTTTGTCACCTGCCACAATGCTGACTCTGAAGCTTCTTCTATCCCTTAACATTTACAGTCTCCCCCTCCTGTCCTAACTGTTTTGCATTACAATTTTGTGTGTCATAAAGAAACTAGAGCAATCCAGTGGGAATGACCTTTCAGCATTGTTATCCCTGTGCTGATGCACTGTAGTTTTATTATTTAGGCAAGACTATTGGTCAAATAGCTCCTGACATGTAATGTTATCTTGCTTTGGGTTTTTCTGCACAAAACCATAGGCAAATAGATATTTGCCATGACTTGCACTGAACTGTTACCTAATTATAGATCTCGTATATTGTTGTTACCGATAAAAGCTTGTGTCACTCGAATTCACAAAACAGAAACCAAGTCATTGCCAGGTGGGTTTAATATATCAGTAGCTGAATTACTAAGTTAACTAGCCTCTAACTACTCTGTAAATTTGATTCAGAACCACACATTTCAGCAATACAGAATGTCAAGTGCAATATTCTCTTTTTTGAAAATATTTCCAAAGCAAATCTTCAGGGAGCAATAATATAGTTTATCATATGTTTTATAAAATAATATTATAGGTGTTTAGTATTTTGTTTCACTATTACACAATTTAGTTCTTTATCTATCTGATGTTGCTAATCTGCTTTACAGTTACAATTCTGAACTTTGGGTTTTAAAAGTGTCAGAATCCAATAACTTTATTAAAACAGAAAACAGCAGTAACGAGTCGTAAAACAAAAGGTCCACAAAATGATAAAAGAAGCAGCATACATTTTTAAGTCTTAAAAAGCATGGGCAAAATACAGACATCCTATCATGACATACAAAATAATGAAATGGGTGCACAGTGGAGGGAATCTGAGGCAGGGAATATAAAAGCTTGGATTTCATAATCAATAAGGTTCTTTCCTTGACATCTCGCCATAGAGAATACTCATGGAAGGGTCTTTGCTAATGACCTTAACAAATTGCAGCTGGTTCACATGGAAACAGACAGCTCTTTTACCAAGCTTCAAAACATTACTTTTTGTGCTACTCCCAAAACTCCCAAAATTTCCCTTTTTTAAAGGAATAATACTGCCAACAGAGACAGTTTCCTGTAAAATAGCACAGGCTACCTGAGAGATTCAAGGAATGACTATACAGTGGCAAAAATATTGGTGGATCCACTGTGAGGCACACCTATGGAAACTGGGTTTCTCTGAGTGAAATAATTGTAGCCATCTAGATTTGCAGGAATCAGCAGGGGCAGAAGCAGAGAGCTGAGTTTGCATTGAGCCTCAGCAGTAGAAGCCGCCTCAACAAAGTGCTAATGAGTGCTGATTGGGAATTTGCATTGAGCCTCAGCAGTACAGTAGAAGCTGCCTCAAGAAAGTGCTAATGAGTGCTGATTGGGAATTTCCACCTCTCTCTTTTGAAAACTATCCTCCTAAGAGCTGTAGTGAAAGACTGTTCCAGCACTGAGTTGAGACTTATTTTTTAAAAAGAAAAAAAATCCAAGATCTTGTCTTTTTAGCAGCCCCAGATGTTCTTGCTGGCTTTTGTCCTTTGAATTGTGCCCAAAAATAATTTACAGGTCTAAAATCTTCATAGTTTTAAAGCAAATGTTCCCAATGGCATGTGATCAGTTTTAGAGCAGTAGTGAAAGACTGTTCCAGCACTGAGTTGAGACTTATTTTTTAAAAAGAAAAAAAATCCAATATCTTGTCTTTTTAGCAGCCCCAGATGTTCTTGCTGGCTTTTGTCCTTTGAATTGTGCCCAAAAATAATTTACAGGTCTAAAATCTTCATAGTTTTAAAGCAAATGTTCCCAATGGCATGTGATCAGTTTTCCTCATTTTTCTGAAATATTTTGTGCTCCAGATTTGGAGAAAGATCACATTCCAAAGCTGGATGAGTAAAGTACATGCTTCCAGATGTTGCTGGATTGCAAGCCCCATAATTCCTCACCACGGGCTATGCTCGCTAAATCAGGGATGGGGACTTGAGCTACTGGATTGTTGTCAAATCAGACTTAGATTACACCAGTGACTTGCATTGGAATGGACTTGCTTGTTTTTTTCAATGATTCAGATTCAATTTGTGACTCAGAACTCACCCACCCCTCTCTTTTTTCTGGGGAAAACAGCTTGTTTTTTTATATATAGAGAGAGAGACTCATACTTGTGACTTGGTGAAGACTTGCCAACATCCCTGGTAGGAGCTGTAGCCCAATAACATATGGAACACCTTGCTCCTCCATGCAGTAAAGGAATGTACTGTTTATTAATAGAATAGGGTGAATTTAGTCCTTCACACATTATTGGACTGTGTGAAATCCCAACAGCCCTTTTCAGACTTATCAGTGATGAGGGAGGATGGGAGTTACAGTCCAACAACATCTGAGCATACACACTTCCTCCAATTCTAGGCCAAGCAACAAGTCAGCAGGGCTTGAGAGAAGATTTTTTAAATAATGTATTCCATTATAACATTTCAATAACATTAAACCAAAGCATCTAGTGACGGTCTTGGAATTGGAAAAGCACTTTGCTATAGATAAAATACTGTGAAATAATGAGTAATTAATATATTTATTTCCTCTTAAAACAAGAGCTCATTTACTCTTTGATTTAATATCCACTGGCAGTTTCAAGCCTATCCAGATGAAAGATCTCTTCATCCATATTAACAACAGTCTTAGTCATGATTAATTAGCACAAAACCTTCTCCCTCACAGCTGTTTGTCTTCTTTTCTTTTCATCTAAGGAACTAGGTATAATAAGTACATAGATCCCATGATTGTTACTGAAGAAGGGAAAAAATTAAAATAGGATGTACAATAAAGAACATGAATCTGAAAACAGAGATAAATTTTGGCAAGTACCATGGAGAGAAAGAAAGGTTTGGGCTGCAGTTCTGCAGTGTCTAGAACAGTGGTTCTCAACCTTGGTCCCCCAGATGTTCTTGGACTAAAGAAGCCTTCACTACTAGCTGTGCTAGCCAGGGTTTCTAGGATTTGTATTTATTTATCTATTTTTTTATTTATTACTTAAATGTGTATACCACTCCCATTAGTGCTGAAGTCCAAGAACATCTGGTGAACAGAAGAACATTAGTGGTGAGATCTTCAGAGCCTGGCAAGGCAGCATGCTGGCTAGGAGATTCTTGGAGATGCAATCCAAAAAGTAACTTTTCTATATTTCTTCACAGACAGATTGGAAAGCCCCCTCCCAGCTTGCAGGCAGAACGTCAGAAAGATTTCCACCTCTGCCTCCCCCTTCCAACCAAAATCTTTTCAAGAGCCCTGTCCCAATGTCACAGGTGGGAGGTGGATAGATTGAGAAAAGCTCTGAGTCCAGATTGGGGGAACATTTAAATCAGTCTGAGAGCTGGCCCTCACAGCACAGAGTTGGAGGAACACAAGGGCCACTTAGTTCAAGACCCTGAAAGTGCAGGAGTCCACAGTTCAAACACCTCCAAATATCTGGTCATCCAACCTCTGTTTAAAAACCTCCAGCAAAAGAGATGATCAGCTCTTGTCATCAGAAAGTTCTTCTTTGTGTTTAGTTAAAATCCCATTCTTTCTTGTAATCTGAATCCACTGGTTGAGGTCCTCCTCAACCATAAGGTTCTCTTTTTTTTAGGTGGAGGGTTTGGTCAAGACTGTGTCCTCATGTGATTGGTTCAAGGTTCTCTTTGCCTGGCTAAGTGTACCAAATGCTCATCCTTCACATGAGGACACAGTCTTGACCAAAACCCCCCTGAAAAAAAGAGAGACCCTTATTACACCTAAAGAAGAAGAGTTGGTGCCCTCAACCAGAAAAAAAGGGAGAGTGGTGGCCATGGCAACCCCTTCCTCTCCTGAAGAAAGAGGTGGTAGCACCCAAAGCCCCCACAGCCAGCAGAGGCTGGCTGCAAAATGGAAGGCTTCCTGAATGCCTGTCTTGAACGACCCCTTGAAGCAGACTCATGGCAACACTACCCATGATTTGATTCCTATTCCACCTCTCAGAGAATGGGACTCATGGTGGCTTTTTAGAAATTATTCACTTGCCTGCTTACCTTTAAAAGCAAGAAGGCGTCAGGAGCTCCAAGCCCATTTATGGGCCTCAGTCAAAGCCTTTGTTTTATCAGGAAAGCCGCTACGCTTCAACAGAAGTAATGAAAATAACTCGTTGCAAATAATTGTGATTTATTCCCTTTTTTTGCAGTTATTAAAGCCAACTTGATTACATTGCAGCTCTTAAGTTAATAGCAGCTGTACTCCTTTTGTGGCATAAGTGCAACTGTAAGTGGTTTTGTTACAAGGTGTGTGCAGGTGCATTTTGTACCACAGGCTAGTTCTCAATTTGTTTTAAAAAATAAATAGTAACTAGCTTAGTAACTTTGAAATAATAAAATGGAGTTGCTTTTGAAAAAGTTCCAGCTATGACTGCTTGTAACTGCAGTTGTGACATATAAGTTTTTAACATCAGCTTTTCATGCTCTGCTCTTCAGAATGAAATTCTCAAATGCATTTCCAAGTTTCCTAAATTTATGTTTCCCAACTGTACAAATTGCCAAAGAACACAAAAAACAGTAAAGTTCACAGCTGCATCAAGACAACCTTCTTAATGTATCCTATAATCTTCCAGCATTTATTCAGCTGGCATGCTGAAACTGTACGTAGAATTTGTTGAGTGAAATGGTATACTTTTTGATTCATTCTTTCATCCTCATATATGTCAGGCTGTGTTGTATTTTGACTTTTTTTCCTTGCTTCTTTTTTTGTTTTGTTTCAACTTTTTATAGATTAACAGATACCGTATATGGTTCTTATTTATTTCATATAATTTACATATTGGAATAAGTTAGAGGTTGCCAAATTAAAACATCCGGTGATATGATCTAGACAGTTTTTCCCCCAAGAGGAGGCCGTGCTTCAGTTAAGATAGAACGCTTGGGATTTCATTTCATCTTTCTGAACACAGCAATCCCAACAAAAGAAGCTCTTGCGATAAGGCTATATTCCACTGCTAGCAAATCACGCCTTTACATCAGTATTGTTCCCCAAGAGGAAGGAGGAGTCCTCTAACCAAGCTTTGATCTTCTTCACCACCCTCAGTGTATCTGCCCTTGGGATTAAGCATGGTGAGCAGGGTAGCTACTTGCGCATTTTCAGAAAAGGAGAACAGAAGAGGAGAAGGGTTTGCCTTAAAAACTGTACATGTTGATGTACGTATATAGCTGCAACTTTAGCAATAATCACCATAGTTTACACAGATAGAGATTCTATCTCCTCATAGTGGAGAAGAGTGTGTGGGTCAACTGTGTGTCTTGGATTTTGAAACAGATGACTTCAAAGCATAGCTTCCCAGCTTCTGATGTTTCTTTCTTTTTAAGCCAGATTTGGACTAGGTAAAGGTAAAGGTTCCCCTTGACATTTTAGTCAGTCGTGTTTGACTCTAGGGGGCGGTGTTCATCCCTGTTTCCAAGCCATAGAGCCAGCTTTTGTCCGAAGACAGTTTCCATGGTCACATGGCCAGCACGACTAGACATGGAATGCTATTTACCTTCCCACCGAGGTGGTCCCTATTTATCTACTCGCATTTACATGCTTTTGAACTGCTAGGTTGGTGAGGAGCTGGGACAAAGCGACAGGAGCTCACTCTGTTGCGTGGATTCGATCTTATGACTGCTGGTCTTCTGACCCTGCAGCACATAAAGGCTTCTGCGGTTTAGCCCACAGCGCCACCACGTCCCTAGACTTGGACTAGGCAGCCTTTAATAGAAGAGGGTTTCAAATGGCTGTCCTTTTCTTTACAATAGTATGGTCAAAGCAGAGACTGATTTTTGGACTACAGTTCCTAGCATCCCTCAGCCAGCACAGCAAGTGACCATGGGAATTGTAGTTTGAAAAGTCTGACATTGTCTAACAAATAAAATAAGCATTAATAGCAACATTTAGCATTCCATTATTTTGTGTCTCACATCCATTAAACCAAAAAAAAAGGGAAAAGAACCATCACACAACTAAATCATACAGGATAAAATTGAAAGTTTGGATTTTGCCTTGTACAAACACCGGAGTAGTTTATATATAATATGGAAAATAGCCCCCTCTTGTGGTTAAAATGTGTAATCAAAAGTATTATGAAATGGGGAAGACGTGAGATTACGAGAGCACACAACTAGAGTGGGTGTGTGTACACTGGAAAAGCGCTTTCCCGCTTTGATCTTTAGTTTCAACTTCTTGCTTAACTGAATCATATTGAGTTTCAGTTACACTGGATTGCAACATACTTCAGCTGTAAGTGTTCATACCATATGCTTCTTTTCTTTATTCCCTGTTTCCTGAGGATCATATCATAGGACAGTGGTTCTTAACCTTTGTTACTTGGATGTTTTTGAACTGCATCTCCCAGAAACCCCAGCCAGCACAGTTGGTGGTGAAGGCTTCTGGGAGTTGCAATCCAAAACTCCTGAGTAACCCAAGGTTAAGAACCAGTGTCAAAAGAAACTGTTACTACTGCACAGCCTGGCCCCACAAAGCCAGATTTAAGTAGTTTAGGTTTAGATTAACCCTTCCCAGGGCCTCTTTCAGTTTTAGCACTACTTACTTGGGAATAAAGCCCACAGTGAGATTTAAAACCATGTAAACCTTAAACCTACATAAGATTCCACAGCATGTTTCATTATAATAGACTGAACTTCAAGGTAGTCATGACTTACCATTCCTAGTGAGTGGGAACCGGGTATAAAGTGCTTTTTAAAAATTTTCTGTGATTTATATTCAAAATGGATTGATCATTATATCTGCATCTGAATGTGAACATTGTCTAACTTGGCTTTTAAGAAGTCAGTATCTCTAATGGCTTCCCTGATCTGCCAAAGAAAAATAAAATTGATTTCACAAACCATTATGGGTGAGACTCATGAAAAATATGATATAATACTTTGTATAACAAAACACTATATAAATAATGTGAAATGATAGTATGTTCTTCCTACTACATCATATCCGACATTGGCTAGAATCTGATTGACGTTTTATGTGTACACAAATGATATCATTTAAACAGTGGTGGTGAATCACTAATAGTTAATGAATGGCTAGTAACATTTATGGTCACATGTCTTGACACAGGATGAGCACACAACTAGGAACACAACTAGTATCACATTAATTAATGGAAACCCATCAATTAGTGTTAAATGCCTGTGGTGACTTAATGTGTTTTTCCTTTTGTATGGAAAAATTCAACAATTGTTGAATTCAACCAAAATGCAACAATTCTGGCCATTGACTAAACAACAATATTACAGATTGGATTGTGTTTTGTTTAAACTGTTTCCATTATTTCCATTATATAGGTATCTCAGATGAATATATAACACCCATGTTCCATTTCTATAAAAGTATGGGAGAACTGAAGATGACACAAGAAGAATATGCTCTACTCACAGCAATAGTGATTTTATCTCCAGGTAATTTCAGCTGTTCAATTGATCTCTATAAGTCAGTCAGTGTAAAGGAAGAAAAAAAAATCAGGAAAATGAGGGAAAAGTAAATTTTTGATTAAAATGAGCTTCCAAATTCAGTTCTGTAATAAAAGGCACAATTATAAAGCAAAGCAAAAAAAAGCTTGCTGCTTATATATCATCCCATAGCGCTTAAAGCACTCGCTGGGTGGTTTACAAGATAATTATGCAGGCTACACAATTATAACTATGGAAAACATCTGCTACTCATGTGTAGAAGTAGGAACATTGATTTTGCTTCAGATATAACAGTTTTAAGAGTTTCGTAATACCCATCCTGGAATTAAACAATATTGAAATAGAGGTCGGCCTGCATGTCACATTGACCTTTGTAGCCCCATCTCCCTGAAAACATCAAGACTGCTTGAGTGGCACAGAGAAAGGTCCCTAGAACTGAAAAAGTTCTCCATCCCTTGTTGACATTGTTTTCTATAATGACAGGATATGTGACAATGTTCAAAAGAGCATGCCAATGAAACTTTAGCTGAGCTCCCATATTATATAGCTGCAGTTGTTTAAAGATCCACCAGATAGAGCCGCAATAGTAGACATACTAAAAATGCACGGATTTCCCTTGCAGTAGCTGTTTCAAGACATACTGAAATGTTAATGCTTACATATAAAGCCCTAAACGGTTTAGGACCTCGATACTTGGCGGAACGCTTACTCCCAACTAGTTCTACCCGTGTCACCCGCGCGAGCCAGGAGGTGAGGCTGAGGAGCCTGACACTGAGGGAGGCCCGGAAAGAAAACTAGAAACCAGGCATTCTCGGCGGTAGCTCCTCGTCTCTGGAATAACCTACCTCCGGAGATTCGCGCTGAACCCTCACTGGGTACTTTTAAGAACCAACTAAAAACATGGATGTATAGGCAGGCCTTCCCTTCCAGTTAATTCCTGTCCTCTTTCCTTTTTTCTCTCTCTTTATTTGATTTATTTTTATTTTTCCCATCTTATAGAATCATTTAATTAATTAATTGTTATAAATTTTTTTAGAACTTGTTATCCTTATGTTGTAAGCCGCCTAGAGTGGTCAAAATGACTAGATAGGCGGGGTATAAATACAATAAATAAATAAAAATAAATAAAAAAATAAAGCTGAAATAATACTCATAATTGTTTCTTCACAACCTCATTTCCATGTGATGTAAACCAGATCGACAATACATACAGGACAGAGAATCTGTGGAGAAACTTCAAGAGCCGCTGTTAGAAGTTCTGGAAAAATACTGCAAGCTTTATCACACGGATAATCCTCAACATTTTGCATGCCTCTTGGGTCGTCTCACAGAACTGCGGACTTTTAATCACCATCACGCAGATATGCTGATGTCTTGGCGAGTTAACGATCACAAGTTTACACCACTTCTTTGTGAAATATGGGATGTGCAGTGATAAAACAACTGGTTTCCTTCTAATCCTAAGCATGACTGCTTGGAATGTATGGAACCTACTCCACATAAATGTATTCAGGATTGAATTCTTTGGTTTGTATATTAAAAATAATAATAATTGTAAACCACCGGAGCACATGGATTGTAAATTTTCCTTATTGGGCTTTATATTGCTTAATATTTACCAAAGTTGTGTAAGAAAGCCTTTGAAAATACATTGTTTAAGAAACTTTGACACAGGAAGCTGGAGTTATCTGTCTTGGTTTTTAAACCTATTGGACCAAAAACAAATGTCTTCTGCATGTCTGAAACATTTCTTTTGAAATTATACTGGTTATTATCTCAATGTCTTCCTTAAAAACGGTGAGATGTCCATGTTTGTTCACTGCATTCTATGTATTCTAAATAGTTCATCTGTAGGCAATGGTGTAGATGTTATAAGAATTCAGTAAACAATACTCTGCCTGAACATGTCCCTCTCTTTTTAAAAATGGCTAACTTGGGAGCCAATGTGGTATAGTGGATAGACTGTCAGATTAAGGCTGAGAAGACCTGAGTTCAAATCTCCACTGGGAGGTAGCCATGATAAACCACTCCTTGAACATTTCACAGACTTCGAAAATCCTATGAGGATCACCATATGTCAGAAGCAACTTGACAGAACTAAACAACTCTAGCAAAGGAAAAGAGCAAATTCTAAATAGGTGTGAAAGAGAGAGGGAGATGGTGAGGAGAAAACATGAGTGGACAAAAAGAGACAGAGCAAAGGGCACAGGTACTTATTTTTGGCTGTGGCCCCATCCACCACTGGCCTCAGCCGTAGTCATTTTCAGCATGGTCCCAGAAATATTACTCCCAAGAGAACACAGTCAGCAAGAAAAGTATCACCTAGTCTCCATCTAGAATTTGCTTCTTAAGTAAGCATGCTTAAGAGTACCTTAAAAATCTGGATTTATAATTACTGCTTCTGTTATGTATGGGAGCAGAAACTGCAGGGGCAGGATTTGGGCAGAGAATCAAGCTTACATTTAAATTTTTTATTTTTATTTTTCTCTCAGATCCCCTTAGCAAACCGATGTGAGAGACCATGTATGTAATATCTTGACTGTGAAAGAAAGAAAGGCTGATCCAAATGGCCAAGAAGGGAAGCCTGCCCAGTATGAGCTTCCAGGTTGCAAGAAGTAATGTAATGGAGCCATGGTTCACAAGGCTGAAGTGCTCAAGCTTTCTGATTAACAGGGATGACGGTATCTTCCGCCATCACTATCCACCCATTAAGTTTCCTTCATTTTCTCTGGTTTTAGCAGCAGTTCTGATAGCAGGGGTAGGGAAGAAATTTCTTCTAACAATTTATTATTGTGCGCTATCCTTCAGTAGGGGATAGAGTGACAGACTACAACTAAAGACAGTTGGGTTTGAATCTCCACTTGTCGTGGAAATGTGCAAAGGAGAGGCATGGCACTGGTAGGTAAAACAGCTTAAATATCTCACTGACATTGAAATCCCTATTAGGGTCACCATAAATCAGTCCTGGCTTGATGGCACGTAACATTCACCTCTGTTGCAATACAAAGTATTCTACAATGGCTTCATCTGGAATGGACAGTGAAGAACCATTTGCCTTACAAAATAAGTGCTCTACATCAGTGGTCCCCAACCTTGGGCCTCCAGATGTTCTTGGACTTCAACTCCCAGAAATCCTGGCCAGCAGAGGTGGTGGTGAAGGCTTCTGGGAGTTGTAGTCCAAGAACACCTGGAGGCCCAAGGTTGGGGACCACTGCTCTACATGGAAACTGGTTCGTTGATGTGCTGCCTACATCTTTTTTTATCACTGTCCGCAGGACCGTGGCTGCAAGGACTGTCATGATGAGCACCTGCATTTCAAATTGTACTCTTACACCAGTGACTACCGGGTATACCCCCAAGAAGAGACCAATGTTTGGCTAGGCTAGAGTCTAGAACATCCTTTCATCGGATTTTAGCAGTTTGTGGTTTGGGGATTATCTAAGGCACCCCCCTAGTGTTTAAATGAAAAGTATCCCAGTCCTAGAATATTAGAGATTGCCAGTTGCTAAATGCTCCATTGAGAATTTATATTAGCTCTACCTGTGTGAGGGAATGAAGAAAAAACATAGGCCTTCTATCCTGTAACAGGTCCCTATCAGACTGCTCTATGCCCCCCAAACACCAGAAAAGAGGTTCACACTATGTGCTTCCCAGATTCTGTGCTGGGGAAGTACGTAATGAACTCAGGGTGGCATGAAAGCAAACCCTGTCCTTTCAGGTTGGAGTGGGCAACTGTGATGCCTGGTTATATTTAAATGTATTGTTTGTATCATATATTGTGATGGCAAATATATTGTTTGAGATGCTGTGGTTTGAAGTACGTATAGGATTGGGGGTGAGCAAAGAGCACGGAATGGTGGTAAGAATGGCTCTGGTTGGATGGGAGAGAAACTAGTAAAGTCTGAGGAAAAATTGGTCTAGTTTCTGTATTACAGCGGTCTGAAAGAGCAATCTGGGAGAAAGACTGAGGAGGAGAGAGATGATATACAGAGTGATGAATTGTGCTAAATGAAGCCAAGGAACAAACAACATCCCTTTGACACTGTTATTTTAATTTTAGAAGAGGTAGCCACGTTAGTCTGTGCTAGCATATATAAGGCAAAAACAAACGGAAAATAAATAATAAAGAAGACAAAAACCTTGTGGCACTTTAAAGACTAACTTGTGATCTTTTATGGATATATCTGATGAGCCTGACTCATCCACAAAAGCTCACATTAAAATTTGGCAGTTAGTTTTTTAAGAACATTTTCATCTTTATTTTTTTACTTCTCTTTTGTTTTTGCCTGATACGTTATTTTAATAAAACATAATTAGTTCTATTCAAGATGAGTGGCGCCAAGTTCAATACCTGAGGACAGGCTACTTGGATGGTGTTATAAGGGTCTGAGTTAAGGGGAAAATATGGGGCAAATAAAAGCTGGTGGTGACAAAAGAGGAAGAGAGAAAATACATGAAGATTATTAAAGACGTGGGACGTGGTGGCGCTGCGTATTCATGTGGTTATTTTAAAAAGAGCATTATTATAAATGGTCAAGTGACCAGACTGAGGGAGTTTTGACATCAGTATATGAGAGAGAGGGCTGACTTCAACTTTCAGAGGAGTGGACACCTCACATACATCCTTTGCTTTCCCAAAAGCTATCCATACCTGATTCTGAACCTGGTAAGTTTTTTCTTATATTTTTTAACTAAAAAAGCCCCCTCACACCCTCTAGTCTAGTGGCTATAGGGAGCAGTTTAACCTGTTTCTGACATCTTGAGCTGTTCTGAGCATTTTTGTGGTTAAAACAGTTCATGGGTTGCCTAAAACATGTCAGAATTGCACCCACCCACACATATGCACATCCCTAGAAAGCACAAGAGGATTTTTTGAGCAAAAGAGGATTTTTTTTTTTTTGGCTGGGAATGCTGGGGGCCTTAATTGGATTCTCAAAGACCACCTAATGGCCCACCTATTGCACATTATCCACCTCTACCTTATACTGTATAGAAAGCAATGTTTTCTGTTCCATCTTGCAAAGACCCAGCCTGTGGTACAGAAGCAATAGAGTCTATTATATTTATCAATATTGAATAGACTGATGAAGACTTCTAAAGTTATGCAGCTGTTAACCCAAGCTGTTGAATGATACATTTCCGAATGAGGAAAACCTTTGGGTGAACTAGGTCAGAAACTCTTACCATCTTATTGTGATACTTTCATTAGGCCAACACAAAGAGCAGAAAATTCTCTATATAAACTCTTGAGAGAACCTATTTTTGCCATGCATGATGCTACAATAAACAAGCCAGGCCAGGGGAAATCTTGATGATAAAGCAACATAGTTGCCTTAGCATCTATGCTAAGGTGTAATGGATAAGAACTTGCAGTGACTAAAACAGGGTTCATCAGGTTTTCAGATAAGCCTTGATTTCTTCTGACTGGCCCCTAGTATAGCTGGCAACAAGAAAGGCCATAAAAAGCAATAAAATGTGCTGCTTATACACGTTGAATGTCCATTTAAATTTTTTTTGGAAATCCAAAACAAACTGAGAAAGCTCATTTTATGCAACTGTAGATAAAGTCTAATGACTGACCATGTGATCCAAGTCTACATACATAGGCCTCATTCATACCTCACAACTTTGTATGTGTGTCCAGGGATATTCCAGGGGGAGACACCACGTAACCCGTCTTCCGACCCCAGCCAGGAATCCGTCACCCAGCCGAGCCGGCGGCCCACAGCCAGCGGGCAACGGTCACATGCTGCTGCCTCGGCACCCGTGGAGAGCCAGAGCCCAGCCCGCGACAGTACGGCACGTGGGCTCGGAATCCACGCCTGGCACTCGGGCAGCGCCCACGCTCGAAGGCTGGGTCACGCCAAGGGCGTGGGCAGAAGCGTGTGCCCTCCTTGCCAGCTAAATTAGACCTGTCTCCTTGTGACACTCTTCTTCTTTGTTGTTATTATCATTTTGTTTACCGGATTTATATCCTGCCTTTCCTCCAATGAGCTCTAAGTGACAGATATGGCTCTCGTGTTCCCTACTAGCAACTCTGTGAGGTAGGTTGGGCTGAGAGTTGAACACTAGCTCAAGGTCTCTCAGGGAGTTTCATGATGGAACGGGAATTTGAACCCATACCTCCTCAATTCTACTCCAACACTCTGACACTACAGACAGTACACTCCTCTGGTTTATAAAAGTGGAAATAAGTGTAATAAGAAATTGTGACAGGTTTTTAAAAGATTTTCTAGATTTCTGCTTTATTAACCGCTGTGCACCCATAATGTTGACTTCCTCTATAGAGTCTATAGCCTCCCCCTCTCTGTCACCAAGACAATCCAGCATTATGAGTCACAGAGGGCACACCACAAGGGGTGAGCATGATTTTGGTGAAGGAATCTTCCAAACACAAGTGTGGGGAACTCCCAATCATCCCTGACAATTGGTGATTGGGTCTGCTGGGAGATGGAAGTTAAGCAACATCTGGATGGCCATGTGTTCACCCATTCCTATCCTTGACAACCAAACCTTTTTGTTTTTTACCATCGTTAGTTTTATCCATGACATACACATTTATCCTGTATGTGAAGAATGTAACAGGCTGCATAATAACTTGTATGGCGTTCTCAAGCAAAACTACAATGTATTCTCGAAGGCTTTCAAGGCTGGGATTTGATGGTGGTTGAGGGTTTTTCAGGCTCTTTGGCCATGTTCTGAAGGTTGTTCTTCCTGACGTTTCGCTAGTCTCTGTGGCCGACGTCTTCAGAGGGCTGGAGCAGGAACTCCAGCATGGACAGAGTTCCTACTCTAGTCCTCTGAAGATGCCGGCCACAGAGACTGGCGAAATGTCAGGAACAGCAACCTTCAGAACATGGCCAAACAGCCCGAAAAACCCACAACAACCATCAAA